ATCAAAATCACTGGGGTCAGATAAACAGCCTTTGTGACCTCTACTCTGTAATCCTTTTTGCGCTACCGCTCACAGGATGAGTAAGGGGTACACATTTAACTAGCTACTGTCCACGGCAAAATAAAAATTTCAATTCCCTCCCTTCCTCCCCCCCCCACCCTCCCTCCCTCCCACCTTCCCAAACTCTCTCCCTCCTTCCCAACACCTCTCCCTCCCTCCATCCCTCTCTTCCTTATTCCCTCCCTCCCTCCCTCACAGTCCACGTGTGTTAGGTAATTTCAGGAAGGTGTTGTACAGTAGCCTCCAGGTATGATGTCACGCCCTTCCGTGCCTTCCTTGTTCATATGGCACCGTGGCACTACTAATGTGGCATCGTGGCACTAGGAGACTGATTGATAGCGCTGTTTCCTAGTACTATACACCACCCAGCATCACCTAGCACCACTATACACACACCCAGCATCACCTAGCACCACTATACACCACCAGCTCACCAGCACCACTATCACACCATCACCTAGCACCACTATACACCACCCAGCATCACCTAGCACCACTATACACACACTCAGCATCACCCAGCACCACTATACACACACCAGCATCACCTAGCACCACTATACACACACCCAGCATCACCTAGCACCACTATACACACACCCAGCATCACCTAGCACCACTATACACACACCCAGCATCACCAGCACCACTATGCACCACCAGCATCACCTAGCACCACTATACCAGCATCACAGCCACTATACACACACCGATACCCACACTATACACACCAGTCACCCAGCACCACTATACACACACCCAGCATCACCTAGCACCACTATCACCACCCAGCATCACCTAGCACCACACTATACACACACCCAGCATCACCTAGCACCACTATACACATACCCAGCATCACCTAGCACCACTCACACACCCAGCATCACCTAGCACCACTATACACACACACCAGCATCACCTAGCACCACTATACACCACCCAGCATCACCTAGCACCACTATACAACCCACCAGCACCACTATACACCACCCAGCATCACCTAGCACCACTATACACACACCCAGCATCACCTAGCACCACTATACACACCCAGCATCACCTAGCACGTTTACACACACACCCAGCATCACCTAGCACCACTATACACATACCCAGCATCACCTAGCACCATTATACACACACCAGCACCTAGCACCACTATACACCACCTAGTCACCCAGCACCACTGTACCTACCCAATCACCTAGCACCACAAATACACCACACAGCACCATTTAGCACGGCCCAGCAGTACACAGCACCATTTAGCACGGCCCAGCAGCAGGAGGGAGGCGCCCAGTTGTCACCAAAGGAAGGTGTACGAGCAGATCAACGTCAGGTCGGCCTCGCATCACTGACGACGGACAAACAACATGTCAGCGTGTGACACCTCCCTCAGTAGCCTGTGTCCCGGCGTGTTGGTCCTGGCTACACACACACACACACCACTACTGCTCCTCACTCACTCGCCACTACTGCCCCTCACACACTCACCACTACTGCCCCTCACACACCCACCACTACTGCTCCTCACACACCTACACTCCCACTTTTTCATGACATATCTACATACAGGTATTCAAGAAATGTTGTGTTGTAGGAATGTTGTGTTGTAGGAATGTTGTGTTGTAGGAATGTTGTGTTGTAGGAATGTTGTGTTGTAGGAATGTTGTGTTGTAGGAATGTTGTGTTGTAGGAATGTTAATGTTGTAGGAATGTTGTGTTGTAGGAATGGTGTGTTGTAGGAATGTTGTGTTGTAGAATGTTGTGTTGTAGGAATGTTGTGTTGTGGAATGTTTGTTGTAGGAATGTTGTGTTGTAGGAATGTTGTGTTGGGAATGTTGTGTTGTGGAATGATGTGTTGTAGGAAATGTTGTGTTGTAGGAATGTTGTGTTGTAGGAATGTTGTGTTGTAGGAAATGTTGTGTTGTGGGAATGATGTGTTGTAGGAATGTTGTGTTAGGAATGATGTGTTGTAGAATGTTGTGTTTTGGGAATGTTGTGTTGTGGGAATGATGTGTTGTAGGAATGTTGTGTTTTGTGGGAATGTTGTGTTGGGGAATGTTGTGTTGTGGGAATGATGTGTTGTAGGAATGTTGTGTTGTGGGAATGTTGTGTTGTAGAATGTGTTGTGGGAATGTTGTGTTGTAGGAATAAGGTGTTGTGAATGTTGTGTAGGAATGTTGTGTTGTAGGAATGTTGTGTTGTGGGAATGTTGTGTTGTGGGAATGTTGTGTTGTGAATGTTGTGTTGTAGGAATGTTGTGTTAGGAATGTTGTGTTGTGGGAATGTTGTGTTGTAGAATGTTGTGTTGTAGGAATGTTGTGTTGTAGGAATGTTGTGTTGTGGGAATGTTGTGTAGGAATGTTGTGTAGGGGAATGGTTGTAATGTTGTGTGTAGGAATGTTGTGTTGTAGGAATGTTTGTTGTGGGAATGTTGTTATAGAATGTTGTGTTGTGGGAATGTTGTGTTGTAGGAAATGTTGTGTTGTGGGAATGTTGTGTTGTAGGAATGTTTGTTGTGGGAATGTTGTGTTGTGGAAATGTTGTGTTGTGGGAATGTTGTGTTGTGGGAATGTTGTGTTGTAGGAATGTTGTGTTGTGGGAATGTTGTGTTGTGGGAATGATGTGTTGTAGGAATGTTGTGTTGTAGGAATGTTGTGTTGTAGAAATGTTGTGTTGTGGGAATGATGTGTTGTAGGAATGTTGTGTTGTGGGGAATGATGTGTTGTAGGAATGTTGTGTTTTGGGAATGTTGTGTTGTGGGAATGATGTGTTGTAGGAATGTTGTGTTTTGGGAATGTTGTGTTGTGGGAATGTTGTGTTGTGGGAATGATGTGTTGTAGGAATGTTGTGTTGTGGGAATGTTGTGTTGTGGGAATGTTGTGTTGTAGGAATGTTGTGTTGTAGGAATGTTGTGTTGTGGGAATGTTGTGTTGTAGGAATGTTGTGTTGTGGGAATGTTGTGTTGTAGGAATGTTGTGTTGTAGGAATGTTGTGTTTAGTAATTATTATGAACAAGTGTTGGGAAGTAGTGTGGGTGTATTCATCATTCTTGCCGCCAATGCCAATATAATATACATTTTCAGTTGCATCAATCAGCTCTATGAATACTAACTAGTGTGGAGTGTGAAGCTGATTGGCTCGCCAGCACCGACCAGCCACTGTAACAGATTAATGACCTTTGTTGTGTGTGTGTTACGGTGGTCGTCACCCTGGAGAACACACCGCTGTTGGTTATTACAGTTAGTGAAGAAAATCTCAGTCTGCCTCACCTCTTAGGGCACATACTGGCTCATTTATTATTTTAAATACGTTATTTTAATTTTGATTTTGCTTTCTCTTGTTGCAAACGAAAGTTGTTGTGAGCGTGTAACACACTACAGCATATATATGGTCCGTCAACCCAGAGGACGCATCGTAAGTAGTGTCACCGTCACTGTCACCAGGTTGTGTTGGGTCTTCTTGTCACCATCACTGTCACCAGGTTGTGTTGGGTCTTCTTGTCACCATCACTGTCACCAGGTTGTGTTGGGTCTTCTTGTCAACATCATTGTCATCAGGTTGTGTTGGGTCTTCTGTCACCATCACTGTCACCAGGTTGTGTTGGGTCTTCTTGTCACCATCACTGTCACCAGGTTGTATTGGGTCTTCTTGTCCCCCTCATGTCACCAGGTTTATTGGGTCCTCTTGTCACCATCATTGTCACCAGGTTGTGTTGGGTCTTCTTGTCACCATCACTGTCACCAGGTTGTGTTGGGTCTTCTTGTCTCTCTTATCACCAGGTTGTGTTGGGTCGTCTTGTCACCATCACTGTCACCAGGTTGTGTTAGGTCGTCTTGTCACCATCTGTCTCACAGGTTGTGTTGGGTCTTCTTGTCACCATCACTGTCACCAGGTTGTGTTGGGTCTTCTTGTCACCATCACTGTCACCAGGTTGTGTTGGGTCGTCTTGTCACCATCACTGTCACCAGGTTGTGTTGGGTCGTCTTGTCCCATCCTGTCACCAGGTTGTTGTCCTCTTCACCATCATTGTCACGGTTGTGTTGGGTCTTCTTGTCACCATCCTATCCCAGGTTGTGTTGGGTCTTCTTGTCACCATCATTGTCACCAGGTTGTGTTAGGTCTTCTTGTCACCATCATTGTCACCAGGTTGTATTGGGTCTTCTTGTCCCATCATTGTCACCAGGTTGTGTGGGTCTTGTCACCATCACTGTCACCAGGTTGTGTTGGGTCCTCTTGTCACCATCACTATCACCCAGGTTGTGTTGGTCTTCTTGTCACCATCACTGTCACCAGGTTGTATTGGGTCTTCTTTTCAACACATGTCACCAGGTTGTATTAGTCTCTTGTCAACATCATTGTCACCAGGTTGTGTTGGGTCCTCTTGTCACCATCATTGTCACCAGGTTGTATTGGGTCTTCTTGTCAACATCATTGTCACCAGGTTGTGTTGGGTCTTCTTGTCACATCACTGTCACCAGGTTGTATTGGGTCTTCTTGTCAACATCATTGTCACCAGGTTGTATTGGTCTTCTTGTCACCATCACTGTCACCAGGTTGTGTTGGGTCTTCTTGTCAACATCATTGTCATCAGGTTGTGTTAGGTCTTCTTGTCACCGTCACTGTCATACCAGGTTGTGTTGGGTCTTCTTGTCACCATCACTGTCACCAGGTTGTATTGGGTCCTCTTGTCACCATCATTGTCACCAGGTTGTATTGGGTCTTCTTGTCACCATCATTGTCACCAGGTTGTATTGGGTCTTCTTGTCAACATCATTGTCACCAGGTTGTGTTGGGTCTCTTGTCACCATCACTGTCACCAGGTTGTATTGGGTCTTCTTGTCAACATCATTGTCACCAGGTTGTATTGGGTCTTCTTGTCAACATCATTGTCACCAGGTTGTGTTGGGTCTTCTTGTCAACATCATTGTCACCAGGTTGTGTTGGGTCTTCTTGTCACCGTCACTGTCACCAGGTTGTGTTGGGTCTTCTTGTCCTCATCTGTCACCAGGTTGTGTTGGGTCTTCTTGTCACCATCACTGTCACCAGGTTGTGTTGGGTCTCCTCCCATCACTGTCACCAGGTTGTGTTGGGTCCTCTTGTCACCATCACTCACCAGGTTGTGTTGTCCTCTTGTCACCAGGTTGTGTTGGGTCCTCTTGTCACCATCATTGTCACCAGGTTGTGTTTGAGTCCTCTTGTCACCATCTCACCAGGTTGTGTTGGGTCTTCTTGTCACCATCACTGTCACCAGGTTGTGTTGGGTCGTGTGATATAGCCTTGGTCACCATAACTGCTGGGTTATCTCCGCCGCTGGTGCTTCATTAACAAGGATATTATATTTTGACACTTGGTTGGGTTTTTTACCAGCATTATTTTATTTACTTATTTATTATTACATTTATTTTAGTGGAAGTATTAACCAGTCATCTTGGAGGGATGGATATGTTTACTGTTGTATGTCCAAGTCAGAGCCAGTGTTTGTGTGTGTGTGTGTGGACGCGGGGTGGCGGGGTCGGCTACGTTCCGGTTGTCAGCGCTCCGGTAAAAAGGTCCCGCATATAATTGCCTGTGCTGTCAGCGTCGTCCGGCCGTCTAGTAAAAGTGTCACCCCCCTCCTTGGGTCTGCTTGGTTTGCGATCATCCAAGTGAAATTCCAGACCTCGCTGTCGAATAACCAATCCTTAAAGATGACCTCAAATGCCGTCTCATTTGGTATGGAATAATTCCCCGGTTATCCCCCAACCCCATCTAGCATTATCGTAATCACATCCAGCGTGCCCCTCAAAAATTGGTTCCAGTGGGGCGAAGCGGGGGAAACGCGCCAAGCTTATGAATAAGTAGTGATGGTGGGCCAGGACGGCCTGCCAGGAGCTACAAGGATTACCGTAGCCAGAAGTCGGCAGGCGCGGCCATTTGCTCCATTATGATAACATTAGCGGACGGTATTGTCGGCTACACCAAATTGGCCTCGGCTTTGGAGACCGACTTTTTCGGATCGTTTTGGTCCGACAGATGCTTTTGTCGACGGGTTGTTGTGGCGTTATATACGAATTATGTTTTTGTCGGCGAGAGTAACCAGCCCGACACTGATGCCTGGGCGAGTGACGACAACCAGCAAGTTACGCTATACCGTCACTCACTCACCATGATTTTATATATATATATATATATATATATATATATATATATATATATATATATATATATATATATATATATATATATATATATATAACTTCAGCAATGGACTTGTTACGTGGAAAGCGCAGTTTCATAACGAAGAGGAGAACCAGAAAAACACAAACATCTTGACTAAGTTGGGTTTCTTTAATCACTAAGGCTCGTATAAATTAAGGTAATACCCCCTGTATATTTTTATTTCACATTTTTATTCCTGACATTAGCTTTGTACGTAGGGGTCTCGTCATTTTTGTCCGTTTTAAATTGGAGTGCTCTTTCTTTAAATTTGATGGAAGGTAAATTTTCGTATAATGTTATGTTTTTATTGTATATCACCTGTATTTTTAAAACTTTTCAAAAACTTTTTGTTTTCTAGGCTCTGATGATGGAAAATGATTTTTCCGAAACGTTAGTGATTAAAGAAACCTAACTTAGTCAAGCCGTTTGTGTTTTCCCTGGTTCTCCTCTTCGTTATATATATATATATATATATATATATATATATATATATATATATATATATATATATATATATATATATATTTCATGTGGATCCACAATGAAAACGTGGATAAGATAAATCTGATAAAATCACTCGGAAAAGGGAAACAACGGACACCTTTAGTTTCGCCTTATTCAAGACATCTTCAGAGGCCTCTGAAGATATATATTTAACTTTTTTTTTTTTTACTCATTAACATACTACAACTACTACTTTGCTACTTTGCTGTCACTCGGAATCGAGTATGACGATCATCCAGCTACGATAAAATGATATGAGTTATCAAGGATGTCATCTAGGTGACACTGCCGTTCATGCCATTGTGGAGTTGCCTCATGATGGCACTGAATTTCGGTGGGCAGCCAAAACGGTTGATGGTCCACCAGAGGGCTTCCCTGTTGACCGAGTCGAAGGCCTTGGTTAAGACGATGAAAGCCATGTACAGGTCACGACGCTGTTCTCTGCACTTTTCCTGTATCTGGCGGACAGCAAAGATCATGTCAGTGGTGCCACGTGATGGTCTAAAGCCACATTGAGATTCTGGGAGGAAGTTTTCTGCCTCAGGAAGAAGTTTGTTTAGGACTCCGGCGATAAGCTTGCCAGCTATGGACAGCAGCGAGATCCCGTGGTAGTTGTCACAGTCTGACAGGTCTCCCTTGTTCTTATAAATATTGACAATGGAGGCGTTTTTAAGAGCTTGGGGGATTTCCTCCTTTTCCCACATATTCTCCAGGAGAGTGGAGACGGCTGGTGAGCAGAGGTCCTCCTGCTTTATACACCTCGGCAGGGATTCCATCAGGCCCTGAGGTTTTGTTATTTTTCATCCGTTTGACGGCAGCAGCTCCCTCATCCAGGGATGGAGAATAGCTGAGGTGGGTCAGCTCTGGGTGCTTGGTAGTCAGGACATCCACATCAGTGTTTCGGTTGAGCAATGAATTGTAGTGCTGTTTCTCACACACTCACAAACACACACACACACACACACACCTCTCTCTCTCTCTCTCTCTCTCTCTCTCTCTCTCTCTCTCTCTCTCTCTTTTTTCCTGGCAGTTCCCCTTTCCTTATTAATCTCTTCCTCTCCCCTACTCTCCCAGTTCATCTCCCTACCCTCCTCTCCTAGCTCCTCTTTCTTCCTCCCCCTCCTCCCTTCTCTCCCAGGGCCGCCAGCGTGACGGGCCCCACAAGAGAAGCCCTGTAGTGACGCGCGGGCCAGCTTTCCGGGGTGTTGGTTTGACAAAATGGCGACTGTCATGTTGGCGCGTAAATCTGTTTCAAAATGCTCGCCAAAACAGTTGTAAATGTTAGCGGGCATTTTTTTTTTCCCAGCCGTCGTGCCTGATTGGGCGTGATGGAGTGATGGTGTTAGTGCCTCTTATTTCCGCTCTTGGTGCCCGTGTCGACTCACCAGGACACACACACACACACACACACACACACACACACACACACACACATGAGCCCGGGCGCGCACTGTACATATCTTCAACACCTCTCGTCTAATGAAACTGACAGACAGGAGTTAAACGTCTATAAACTCTGAACACTCCAAGTGACAATACTCTAGACAGGAACTCGTCAGTGGCAGCACGAGGAAAACACTCATCTGAGAATGAAGAAACACCACTGTTGTGTTCACTATAATGTATCCAACCAGGCAGGTGACTGTGTATCAGTCTTACCTTCTACAGTGTACCTTTACGTAACCTAACTTAACTTAACTTAACCTAACCTAATCTGACCTAACCTTATGTAACCTAATCTAACATAACCTACACTTATTTTACCTAATCTAACCTAGCCTAAGCTGACTTAACCTAACTTAACTAAAGCTAATCTAACCTAGAAAAAACCTTTGCCTAACTTAACCTAACCTTATTTAACCTAACCTAACCTAACCTAACCTAACCTAACCTAACCTAACCTACCTTAACTTAACTAAAGCTAACCTAATCTAACCTTGTATAGCTTTACCAAACGTAACCTTACTTAACCTAATCTAATTTAACCTAATCTACAATGACAAACCTTCAAAATCTATACTGTACATACATACATACATACATACATACATACATACATACATACATACATACATACAGCCAAATGATGGTTAACCTGAGACAGTACAGATGTGTGGAGGAGACAGACAAGCTATGACCCCCAGCTGTTGTGACCCAGGGACATGTCATCAGTGTTCAGCATCACACACTCTCATAACTCCTCTGTCTAACGTGTTACCTTCATGTTAGAAATACAAAAATGCGTCTAGACATGTTCATTTCCGTGTAACTTTACTCAGATATTAACTTTAGTGAGCCAATTACTTGTGTTGTCAAGTCAGCAAACAGCCATTAAGATGAGACGACCATAGGATTAGTGGCTGACACGTGAGCGTTTGTTTACACGACCTAGTGTTGCACCCCGGCCCCACCTCACCTGTAAGAGGACCCAATCAAAACAGTTAACTGATGACCATCTCGTGTTGAGCCAGTGGGATCAAGATAGTGTAGTGAAGCAGCTGACTCCACTACCACCACCTACCATTACCACTACTACTACCCCCTACCATTACCACTACTACTACCCCCCTACCATTACCACTACTACTACCCCCTACCATTACCACTACTACTACCCCCCTACCATTACCACTACTACTACCACCTACCATTACCACTACTACTACCCCCTACCATTACCCTGTAGAGAGGTTTCTCTCGGCTTCTAACCTTAGTCGCTCTCGCCATAATAAAATAGCTATGGTCCGCTGCCTTACAAAAGTCTTAATGACGCCCAACCCCAAGGTGGCCAACCCTATGGTGGCCAACCTCTCATGAAGTAATGTGCCCAAGAGTGGCCAACCCCCAGAAGAGGCCAACCCCCAAGAGTGGCCAACCCCCAGAAGAGGCCAACCCCCAAGAGTGGCCAACCCCCAGAAGTGGCCAGCGGAGGACACCAGCCATCACTCTGTTATCTTCATGTTTGTTTATCATAGATCGGTCCACTAATTATGTTGCTCCCCTCTCTCCTCCCCTCGATGATGCCTCTCCTCCCCTCTCTCCTGCCCTCACTAATGTCTCTCGTCTCCTCTCTCCTCCCCTCGATGATGCCTCTCCTCCCCTCTCTCCTGCCCTCACTAATGTCTCTCGTCTCCTCTCTCCTCCCCTCGATGATGCCTCTCCTCCCCTCTCTCCTCCCCTCACTGATGCTTCTCCTCCCCTCAATGATGCCTCCCTCTCACCTTTCCTCCCTCAATAATGCCTCCCTCTCACCTCTCCTCCCTCACTGATGCCTCCTCTCACCTCTCCTCCCTCACTGATGCCTCCCTCTCACCTCTCCTCCCTCACTGATGCCTCCCTCTCACCTCTCCTCCCTCACTGATGCCT